AAAGCGTTTGCAACCGAAGTTATATGAGGCGCAGCATTACCAACGGAGAAAGCTTATTGAAGTAAAACGCGTTAGTAAGGAGATAATTTAACGGCACGCAAACTATGAAACTCGAGATGTTACTTACCACCGATAAAAATAGCAAAGAACACGTTTAATACATCAGCACCCGACATATCATGGTTGACGATCAAAATGCTGCCGTACCAAAAGGCCAGACCATAACTGCCATACATGATAAGCATCATTGATCCGAGACCAATTCCACTAACAATTGCCTTCTTTCTTCCCGCTTTATATGCATATTCCAAATTTGCAATGTAACGATTAATTTCGCGTTCTTGACCACCAAAAGAGACCACAGTTCTTATGCCTGATATTGCCTGTTCCGCCACACCTCCCGCAGCAGCATATGCATCTGGAAAGTGAAAGGTATTTTGTAAATAAAACGAATCAATGACTCAAACAAACGCGTGACACGAACCTTGCCCTAGGGTTGAAAAAAGAAAAGTTAGTTACTTTGAAGTCGATAAAGAAGTCATAACCTTGTGATCGATCAAATTAACACGAACCCTTTGTAGTATCATTTGATATAGCTTTAGCCATTATCCCACCGGCTATGGCCATTAAAGGAAACACTAGATATAATTGTGTTAGTCATGTAATGTATATCATGCCTCACGCGATAAGTATGTGCTATTAATGTTACCGGCACAGAGAACCAATGAAAGCTTCCATCCTAAAAAAGAGGAAATTATTCGTTACTTTCACCAAAACCGAGGAAATTCGATAATTTCCGAAATATAAGATTATATATAAACCTTTTGTAAAAGCAATGACGAAACCCGCAATGAAAGTAGTTGTAAACTGTATTATCAAGCCGACCTTCTCGGAGATGCCTTCTTGATACAGGCCTAGAAAGAAAAAGAAAGATTTGGGAGTTCAGTCACGATCTAATGGCGCGCCCAAACGAATTGTCATCCACTATTCACAAGATCAACTCACTGATGTCGCCTGAGATGCGCGTGGTGACGTCACCGGTTGAAGAGCTGTCAAAAAAAGCAATGTCTTGACGTAAAATCGAGGCAAAGTACAGCTCACGAACACGCTGATAAACATGGAACTTTAGTATATGATACGAATAGTTAAGTTGCAATAATTTGTCAAATTGATACCTTGGCTTGCCTCTCGCCTGCCATCATCCACAGGCTCATATGTGTATAGGCACAGACAAAAACGCCACAACCTAACCCT